TCGATAAAAATCCCGCCTCCAACGGAAAAGCTACTAATTGAGGATGAAGAGCTTGGGAAGAAAAAAGTCGCTAATGCCCTGGAAAAGGTAATGTGTTGATTTTATGGTAAAAAAAAATTGTTTTTAGAAGTTGCGACGAGCCCGATTTTATTGACTTCAATTGTGTTCTTTACTAAATTATGTGTATGATAAATTATTGAGTTTATGTACACACATGGTTAGTTTATGTCAATAATACTGCGTCTTTTTTAAACGTTTATAAACATTTAATGGCAATACCCGGGAAGTGGACCCAAAAAATTACATTTGGTATTTGAAGGTTCTTTGTGCGTTCTTTAGTTTTTGATACTTTTGAAGCACATTCCAAAGAATTACCAATTTTCGCGACATCGCGACAGGCAGACTCTTCTCGGGATGGAGACTATTTTTGTAGCCCCAGGCCATAATTGCGCAATGTGGTCCTTGGGTGGGTTATCATTGGAGGACTTCGGCAGGGCGGTGACCTCAGATCATCTGGATCCCATCTGCAGATAAGGCCGAGGTTCGAGCAGAGTTACGCCATTTACGATCCGACCTCTCGCATGACCCAACCTCCAGACAAACATTCTAACATCATTCTCTCATTTCTTAGCTAGAGTCGAATACCATATCACCATTTTTTGTTAGACATTCGAGGCCTCCAAAACTTAAAATTCGATTTTTGCCTGCCTAATGCATCTAAAATTGGTTAATATGCCGCCACTGTATGATTCTCTCTCTCGCTCCCTTTCTCTCACTCTCTCTCTCTCTCCGTCTCGCTCGTTCAGTCTCACTCTCGTTATCTGCAACTTACAATTTACTTGCGCCTCGAATTCGGCTGCGAGGTTTTACGAATTAATACTTTAATTCATATCTTCTTATCCCCAATTTTTAGCCAAATGCGGATATTCTACCTCCTCCCCATGGCCCTCTGCGCTGTCGCATCCGCCATCGAGTACGAGAAGCCGAAGCTCGTCTCGGGGCGCCTCCTGACCCAACGGACGTCGAAGGGTGGAATGTAAGCAGTGAAGCAATAGTGTGACCATTCGGAATCTAGACATTTTGGATCTAGTATATCACAGTGAAACCATATGCTCGGATGTAGCATGTCGAATCCCGTCAGACCGTACTGTCTTGTAGTGTGTATCGTGGTCTAGTAACACCACATCTCGGAGTAGTTTGCAGCGTCTCGTGCAACGCCGTACCATATTTGCGAGGCTCCCACGTGTTGTTGCGTAGCATCTAGTAGTCGTAGCACCTTCCCGTAGCGCGTAGCATCTCGTGGTCGCAAGTAATCGTAGGTAATCGACGTAATCTCGTAGTCGTGTCTGGAATCACCGATAGTCCTACCATATAGCAACCTAGTGTAGTATAGTATCCCAGCGTAGCGCACCGTTTAAGCTCAACACTCGTATTTTCAGGATCTCCTCCGATAACCAGTGTCTATATGCAAAATGGTCTTTCACGATGGAAGACGAGGCAAAGGCCCAGATGCTCCGGAAACTTATCCCCCGCTTTTGCGGCATGATCAAGGAGACTAAACGTAAGAAGAGCTTAAAAACAAACCACATTGTGTTTAGTATTTTTCGAAGAGTACGAGAACAACACCACTTTCAAGAAGGTCTTCGATTACTCCTCGGAAACGTTGAAGCTGTAAGCTGGTCAAGTAGAAATAAGCCTCAGCTGAGCCTGAAAGCCCAAGACTGCCAGTTACTCCATTTAAATTGCCATAGAATAGATTTTAAAGGGACAGTGACAGCTAAGAAAAGCCGCTTGAACCAAGATAACGGGTCTTTTTTTTAGGAACACCGAACTGTCCATCAACACCACCGTCAACGAGTTCCTAGACAACGTGGATCGTCTGTTCTACCAGCGCAAGTTCCACTTTGATCAAGGAGCTGCTCACCAGGTATTTGTTTGACTTTTTAACGTTTATAGTATAATTTTTGCAGTCATTCCAACGTCAAAACCGTTAAAATTGTAAAATTTGAATTTTTAGACCCTGCTGAACGCTGCCGGAATCGCTGAGGACTCCGAATGGGACCTGAAGCATATGTTTACGTGGAAGGTACGTCGAAGCTTTAAATTGCTTTTGAATCAACATTTCAAATAACAAAAATATTCAAATTTAAACTTTCAGAGCATCCGCGCTGACGTTCAATATTGTGACGAGACCGATGATACCGTGATGATCGAGCTCTGCGTGCCGACGATGATGGACAAGATTTCGGGAGATGTTTATGAGGTTTGTGTAACTCTCTCTCTCTCTCTCTTCTCTCTCTCTCTCTCTCTCTCTCTCTCTCTCTCTCTCGCTCTCTCCTCTCTGTCAGCTCCCTCTCCCCCTCTCTCTCATTCTCCTTTAAAAACCAGAACTTCAGATGCTCGACAAGGGCGAGTTCACCACCTCCAGCAACGGTACCATCGAGTACAGCTACATGGACATCCCCGCTACCGCTATCCAGACCTCCAATGCCGGATACGTCGGAATTGATGAACGTTACTGCAAGGAGATTGTAAGTGCCATTTCCCCAGCTGGGATTTTCTCATTAAACAAACTCAGAAGCGAAACTTTTAGTATACCAAAATTCTCCTCATTTTTAGTTTGACACTGGCCTCCTCTGCAAGGCCACCGGACTCGCCGAATGCCAGCCGATCGGCTTCAAGGGGTGCAACTCGCAGGAACTTATCGTTGAGGAGGGCTTTACTCATGCTAGGAACTTCACTTCTTTCCATCTTGTTGCTACTTTTGAGAAGGTAAGTTAGACGCATTAAGCTTATGCTCAGGCTTAGCTTTAGGCTTAGTCGTACGCTTAGGTCAGGCTTAGGCTTCCGCTTAGGCTTAGGCTTAAGCTTCGTCTTAGGCTTCGGCTTTAGCTTGGGGCTGGTAAGATCAAGTCAATTCGATTTTCCAGAACGCCACCATCGTCGGAACCAACCAGACCTTGGCCCTCGACAAGAACATCTTCCTTCTCGTCGTCGGACGTGGAAAACAAGTCCAAATCGGCAAGACTACGTTCGACAACCTTGATGCTGACATCACGACTACTGAGATCATCAACATTGAAGAGTTGACGAAGGTGGCCGAGCAGGTGAGGAGTGAGAGAAAGAGAGAGAGAGAGAGAGAGAGAGAGAGAGAGACAATGTGGGAGAGGGTAAGGGATAGATAGAGAATTAAAACGTTCGAAAATCAGTTCTATCTTGCACCCAATAGTTCGCCAAAGATCACAACTCGAGGGCCTATTTTTCCTAAATTAATCTGACTACAAATATGATAAATTTGGATATTGATACCAAGTCCAATAACTCCAACCCACGCCTAAAAACGGGCAAAGAATTTATTTGCTGTAGACAATGGAGGGTTAGACAATAGCAAGTACCACTATCAGGTACTACACAGATTATTGCGAGCACTGCACTGATTCAACAAGGGTTTTTGATTTATCCGGGGCGTAATTAATGTTATTCTCATTGTGAGTAGATTGGGTCACAAGACTGAGATTTTGTTTTGAGTGCAAGAGGCGTAGGGAAAATAGATCGTTGAGCCCAACAAATTTTCCTAAAATTAAGCGAGAGAGAGAGAGAGAGAGAACGATGGAAGTCGAAAATCATAAAAAAAAAACTCCATTTTCAGACGCTCAAAACCTCTCCTAACAACAAATCCGGGGGCGGCTTCTTCCGCAACATCTTCAGCTTCTTTGGTAATTAAAGGCATTATTTTTCACCTTTTGATTTTTGTTTTAATAGTTTTGATCTCTTGCCATCATTTTTTGTACATTACGAGAATAAATTTTCTTTTTAAGCCTAGAAAAGTACACCAAGAATTCCGGAATGTTTATTTTTGAAGGTCCGTTTCTGATTTCTTAGCCGGCGAGCAAGGGTAGCTGAACTTCATTACCATCCGGGTCGATCCATTTCTGAAATTTCTGGTGCTCTTTTATATCAGCCGCTGAAACGAGGTTCATTATTATGCTTTAAACAAAAAATTCCTGATGGAGAGTGAAAAGTGATAATCAATCAAAAAGTTCCCAGACCACCGGTTTCTGGCATATCAGATGAGCGCTGACGCCGCACCCCGCATCATTCCACATATTTGACATGTCTATCTGAAAACCGGTCTATGCGTTGCTAATACGGGGTAGGTTTACAACCTGAAGGCAGGGTTCGACTCCGTGCCAGTCATCAAAAACGGCCGGGTCATAATTCGAATAGCTAACGGAGGTCCCGTCGAGCCAGGTGATGTCATACTTGTCGGGCCCTGTCTGAAGTGTCAAAGATGTTGTGAAAACGGACAACAATGCCACTGGGGAATATACGGTAAATTCTATTTATTGTCCCCTCGGAAAAAATAGTCGAAATCCCGAAAGTCCGAATACCGACAGCTAAAATCACGATAGGTCACAATCCCGGCTGTTGTCTTTTCAACGCAACCAAAAATATTGAATTGACAAACCCGATTCGCACCGAGCCAGACGTAGGCGAGTTGCGAGCTCTTGCCACGGCTTCCAAAGGTCTGAACTAACAATATAGGTAAACCCATTAAACACATTTTAGAAACTTACCAAAAACGGCCTGGCTTTCGGCAGCCGAATGCAATATGGGTAGCGTGGCACCCAGGGTTTGGCAATACGCGATGCCTGTCTTGAAATCGCACATCTGGTTCGCCCACTAAAAAGGTGCTTTTAAAAAAATGCCGGAATTCACAATACCGAAATTCCCAATGTCGAAATTTTACAATGTTGAAATTCCTAACCTGCAGACATTTATCAGTGCCGGTTCCAAGAGTCCAGCCGGCGTCGCAAGATGGCTGAAACAATCCCTCTCTCTCTCTCTCTCTCTCTCTCTCTCTCTCTCTCTCTCTCTCTCTCTCTCTCTTTCTCGCTCCCTAGGCTCTTTTTTACCGTTGGTGCATCAGGAAGTGGCGTCCCGCAATCACCAATGGACTCTCCGGTAGCAACAGACGCTTCCTCACCATAGCTGCTACCCAGAAACAAATAGTCCGGATCCGGCTCTGTTGCATTATAGGCATGACAAGTCGCATCTAAGATTAGCTAGTCGCCAACAGCCAAGCCACGTACCTGTCCCCTTGCAATCATCGCCTATCAAAACACAACGCGAAAAACAGATAGCTTCCGGAAAACCGTAAATTGGATCGTTGCGCTGTACAAAGTAGCTCTGCGGAAAGCAAAGTTTAATAGTTAAAAATAAGAGAGACAGTAGAAGCATGAAGTTAGTTAGTTTCGAATTTCCTTAAGTGCGTCCTGCTAAAAACAGCAAATTCCCCCGTTGCGACCGTCGTCAAGGTATTGAAAGCACTTAAGGCAATCGTGTTGGGCGGATACACGGAACAATTTTTCGAATGGCGGGATGTCTGGGTTCAAAATTGGCTAAAGTTGGTTACTTTAGGCTTCGCTTGGTCTTGGGTTTAGGCCTAGGTTTAGGCTTAGGCTTAGGCTTAGGTTTAGGTTTAGTTTAGCTGAACATAGCTTGGTTTAAGCTTGAGCTTGGGCTTAAGCTTAGGCTTATAAGGCTTTCTAGGCTGAGGTTTCGCCACTATCGCAAAGCCTGCAATTTTTTAAAGGGTACGCTGGTACACTCTTTATTCAAATCAATTGTCTTCTCTGCCGGCTTTGTCCCAATTTTTGCACCCACCGTAGCCAGCCTTGGCCACACCGCGTCCCAAAGCGTTTTTTGTGCCTGGGGAACAATTGCGCCCCAAAATTACTCGGATTATCCAGACAATTGCTCAGTTTTGGGGGGCATTGTTTGCCTACCAGTCCAAAGAATTGGTAGGCGCTTTTTAGCACGTCTTTTACTACATGGCAGTTCGGGGGAATGCGCGTAGTTTTTATACCTTTTATAGTCGTTGCTACGTCGGGGCTGAATCATGGATTGAACGTACAGAGATAAAGGATCAAAAATTGCATCTCAAAACACGATATAAAAAAAATCGTCAAGAAAGCTTTTTGCATAAATCTCCAAAACGCTATCATTATTTCTACGTTTTTGAAGCCAGTCTGATTTGGCGATTTTCAGCATTGATAATCATTCAAAAATCATCGCAATTAGAACTTTGTAATCCGAGATGCGTTGACTACATTTGTTTAATTCGCTTTACCACGTGCGAAGGAAAATGCTTTATCGAGCGAAAGGAACATCAACATATGGAAATTCACACAAAAATGCTTCAAATATGAATCGACGAAGTATGATCATGGTTCTGTTGCGTAGAAGGCGTAACGGATGGTTTGATGATGCCCATCCGGTACAGCCCGAGCATTCGGCCTACCTGAAAAATCATGCTTTTATGGTTTTTCTCGCTATTTAAAAAGTTTAAAAACAGTTTTTAAGGGACAGTGACACACAGGGGGAAAAATGAAAGCGAGCGGGATGCGGAGGAGGGGGCGCTAACTCTGGGGGTGTCGGATCGGAGCGTCGCGTAGCGGTAGTCGTGATATAACGAGGGAATCGCTGAGACTCGCGACAGCAGCCAAACGCCACGCGGGATATCTTGGGAATTTTTAGGTTTTTGACCAGTCTTGACCATTTTAGACTACTACTGCGTTTATCTCTACCAGTTTTAACTTACCATATAACTTAAGATAACATTCTTACATCAAATTTAATTGCATTCTTCAAACTTTTTTTTGAGGGTCTTTAGCGTTTTTTTGTGTCAAACCAGAAGTAATACAATGCTCAACGATTGTTGCCTTCTCAGCCCCTTTAAAATACAATTTTCGCTTTTACTGACTTCTCTCTGAATCGTCTTATTCAGGGCGAGGTATACGATGGCCGGGAACCCATGGCCCCACTGCCAGTTGATATGGCCGATCAGGATGAAGAAGTCGGGCGTGGGGAAGAACTGAAATTTGCATACTTAAGCGTTTTTCTTCTTGTTATTTGGTATACAAAAAAGGATACTAACCTGCATGTAAACATAAATCAGAGCCGCGATCAAGTTTGCCAGGCAGATAAGGGTGGCTTGGATGAAGATCTGAAATGTTTAGGTTGGCCTCGCTTAGGCTTAGGCTTGGCTAGGCTTAGGTTAGGCTTAGGCAGGCCCGTACGAGGGGGGGGCACCGGGGCACGGTGCCCCCGAAATCGGTCGAGGTCCGAAAAAGTTCATGAAGGGGGACCCTTGTGATTTTTCTCGCAAAATTTTTCTGCCTGCGGCGCTGTTTCTCGCTGTTTTGAAACGATTTTTACTTCTAGAAAACCTATTTTTCTAAAAATTTTTGCCTGCGGCGCTAGTTTTCATTAGTGCACCATGTTTGCCGAACAAAATTTCACTTGCGGGCGCCGTTTCCGATTTGTTTTCACACGAATTTAAGCGTTACAAACGCGGTTTTCTTAGCTTTTTTCGCCTGCGGCGCGGTTAGTGTCGCTATTTCTCGAATGTTTTGAAAGTGGCGACGGGGGGGGAGGTCGCCAGACCATTTTTGGTGGGTGCCCCCCGCTGAAATCTCGGCTCCCGTACGGGCCTGG